AAGCAGGCAAAATATTACTTTAAAAGGATTCCTTCCAATAAATGATATATTTCTATGACTTCCTCCCCTCCCCTCCCCTCCCCTCCCATAGGGGGAGTGAGTGGGGGGGGGGTCTCACTTAAATCTACTTAATTTCCTATGATTTGAGTCTCAAGACTATAGACATCTTTACCTTCAACGTAATCATGGAAAACATAAAGGAAAAGGTTTTTGGGACTGTTATCCAGAAGGTCAATAAAAAAGATAATTAAAAAAAAAGAAGCAGACTGAAGAAGCCTCACCTGGCTAACTTTTGCATTTCTTCTTCATGTAGTTTCTTCCTTTCTACAAACTCCTCAGGTAAAGCAGTTTCAGTAAGCCTGCTTATTGCAACTGTAACAGTCTGTTGAGACAAATTGCTCAACTATATATTAGAAAGTAGTAAGACTATATAATGACTCTTTGCATGGTTATGATAAGTAATGCCATCTGAACCTTTCATTGCCTATTAATTAAGAGATTCTTTGAAAACTAACTGAGATCCAAATGATCTAATTATAGTGAGCAGTTCTCACCTGATTTCGCTCAGCAAGGAACTAAAATATCAAAAGAAAGATAAAACAAATATAGTTAGCAAACAATATAACCAATAATTAACAATATTTTCAACCCATATATATATAATTATATATATATATATATATCAACTAACACCATAGAGAAAACAAAATTAGATTTACATCATATGCTTTAAGACAATAATTAATATTATGATGTTGGTTAAAAAGAATTTAATAATTCCCTAATTGATACTTTTCACTTGTCTGCTTGATATTGCATTTATATTGTTAGGAGAAATTCTGTCTTGGGTCATTCAGGGGAGTTAATAAAGGCAGGGGTTTCATTAAGGGCCAGGAACCGGGCAAATTGACCAGTTGTGAGAACGGTTTTGCCCGTCTGATTTGACGGTCTGGAGTAAAGTTTATCTTCTAAAGAAGTTCAGTTCAAAGAGTTTTGCCCGCCTCAGAAAACCAGTTGCCCTTCTGCAGAAAACATTAATGAAGCCCCTGTAAAGGGCTAAGGAAAGATTTTGGACTGAAGAATTATAAACAAAAAAAACACTTACTGCACCTTTTTCAAGGAAAATCTGCAGATAGGACAGGTTGGTCTGTGATCAAGATTACAATTGAGGCAGGAACGACAAAATGCATGGCCACAGGGTGTGGTAACAGGTTCATAGAGCAACCTTAATAAAAAAAAATATATATAAAACGTTTTGTTGCAAATAATCATAGTATTCTTACTTGTTACTTCCTAATAAGAAGCATTAATTTGAAGAAGGTGAAGTCTGAAAAAAAAAAATTCTCTTGTCTTGCAACATGTGGCTTTAAAGCCTAGTTGATATTATTAGAACTCAGTAGCTGTATCTGTAAGTCATGTGATCAAGTAAGTTGTACATATTACCGGTGATTATTCTTTAAGTACATGATTTTAGGTAGGTATTATAGAAATCCTAATAAGTGTATCTGAAATCTTTTACTAAGAGTTCAATTTAGACAAAGACTGTACAAATTTGTGATTATTATACCTGCAGCATAATGTACATTCCAAATCTTCAACACAACATCGCTTGTCAAGTCGTAACTTTTTCAAGTCAGGTTCACCTTCACTTTCAACTGAAAAAAAAAAGAAAAAACACAATGATTATGGAGAGCAAATGGGGACAAATGCCTCGTAAGCTGTAAGTCTGAATGAATATTGTTGCAAAGTTTTGGTAGCTTTGGGCTTCAGGCTTCTGTTGTCTGAGGGGAGGATACTGCAAGTTAATTAAATTTAAACAATTCAGCTGATCACGGGGATTAGATGAGTGAAAATATCACCTGCAGCTTTGAGTGAAAAACTCAACATAGAAAGAAGCAAACTGCCTAAAGCACAGGAAAATGCAAATAACCAAGTTACAACAGTACTGCTCTTAGTTCTGAGTCTGATTGGCTGAAAAAAAATGGCTCAATGATCAGTTTTCCAGACCAATCACATAGCAAAGTACAGGTGCAGAACCTAAACAATTCTGTATCACTAATTCTATAGACTCAATTGAAAACTATTCCGTAAACAGCATTAACCACTCCCTGATGACCAGTATACTCTGCAGTCACTAACCAGTGCCATGTTCCACTTTACTTTGTTCTACTAGATCCACAAGGCTTGTCAATCTTTGAAGAATGACACAGCCATTGGTGTCATCTGGGGAGGTGCTGTCACTGTTTGAACTGGAAGTTCTAGCCCGCTTTTGGCCTCGACTGGAGCAAGAGATACCTTCTGTAATCATTTCATGTAGAAGCTGCGAAATGAATATAGAGTATGGTATCTCCTTTTATTGTCATGTGACCATCACAAGACTTGAGAGAGATTAGGAGGCAAGGAAGGGGTATTTCTGTATCATATTCAGCTATATTGATCACTAAGGCCAGGTTCAGACGCCGAACTTTTCATGAGCCGAACTCAATTTGAGTTTGGACCAACCCAAATTAACAAAAGTATGCCTGCTGATTCAGACGCCGTTCTTTTCGGCCGTTCCAAATTCAGTTCCAGTAAAACTAGTCAAACTGCTTGCAAAATACATTACAACGATTTATGCATTAGGATTGGCACATGAAAAGTACGGCGTCTGAATTAAAGCCGTTCCAAAGGCGTTCTACAGGCGAAATTCTTGGCCGAGCCAGGCGGGAAGAATGGGTGAGCTGTTCCAAATTGAAATAGCCGTTCCAAATTGATTCAGATGGCGATCTTTTCGTGTACTTAATTCAAGGATTTAGGTTCGGCTCATGAAAAGATCAGCGTCTGACCTGGGCCTAAGACCAAGGTTGGTCAGCCGGGTGAGCAGATTTTGAAAGAAGTCTTTTCTCTCATCTATAACCCTTTAATTCCCAGAAGTGATTGAAAGACATGTAACTTCTCTCTTAATGCTCTCTTTAATATCCACACAGTATCCAGCAAACAGGTAACTTCTCTGGCAGACGTTATCTTGATCTAACACCAAATTCTTCAAATTAATTTGAAAGAGAAATGTGTAGCAACTGGAAGAGAGAGTTAACAATCAGATCTTGGTAGTTAATTGGTTAAGAGACTTAGTCTCATTTTGCTGGCTTAAAATCATACACTTTATGAATCTATTGCAGTCACACATGCTTGAAACTATTCTTGGAACAAAAAGGAATTTCATGGAAATCACAAAGTATGTAAACTAACTGCAATAACTTTTTTTTTCCTGTAGGATCAAAGCAGGCAATCCTAGGAAGACAAAATATGGCTATTAGATGTCATGACAAAATCATTCTTGGGCTTAAGTTGTTCATTCATTCATTCATACATACATTCATTCATTCATTCATTCATTCATTCATTCATTCATTCATTCATTCATTCATTCATACATACATACATACATACATACATACATAACCTTTATTAACGTGTCTAGTCATTCTAGGGCCTGTAAGCACTAATTGGGGACACCCGAATCAGACCGGTTTTATGTTTGCATTCTATGATTCTCTCAGATCATTAGTAAAGCTATGGGATGAATGTAATGTTACAACCTCACTGGTTTAAATAAAAGAAAAACTGTTAACCACATTATTGGTCTTTCTGCTGTACCTTTGTTATGGATTTTCTAACAGTTGGTTTTTCTGGATCCCTAGCAAGGCAGTGCATAAAAGCCACTGCAGCTTCAGCTTTTTTATTTAAACCAAGCAAAGCACATCCTTTCCTGTAGTACCCCTAAAAATTGGAAAAAAAAAAAAAAAACAAACAAACAAACAAATTGGGAGGAAAACAAAGGTTTTTCAAATTGCCTCAGTTGACTGAGGCCTCCCTTTTGTCTCTCACTCACTGCCAGAACAACATGAGGTTGTATGCAGGACATCCAAAGTTTTTTTTCTCTTTTACCAATAGTATTGTACTTCAAATTTAATTCTTCAATTCTATAATAAAAACTTAAGCCAGATAGCTACTCAGTATACATAGCAATAACATTGGTAATGATAATGGCACTACTAACCACAGTTCATGGTTTGAACTTTGAAGTCTTGATGACAAGTGGCTTTGGTGTTTGTGACAATTGTGACAATTGTAACCCTTTAGTGAGTTAAGCATCTTTAATTACAATATCACATCCCAATCACACATTAAGGTCACAAGAATAAAGGAAATGATCACCAACTAAAGAACCCCTTGGTTGTTAAACAAACTCTTCTTGTCAGCACCTTAGGAAATGTAGAGAGAACAGTAAGGAGAATATGCATACTGATGTTAGAGTGTAAAAGGCTCGACAGCGCTTTCTGGGACTATACCCCTAAATTGTCATTCAGATAATCAACCACACTCTTCCTAAACCCTTCACCCACTGAGAGTGACCAGTATCTAATTTTTCTTTATAGGTTTACTCCTGAATCAACCATTAAGGTTAGGAGAATAAAGGAAATGATCAACAACTAGAGAAAATCTTGAGTGATAAGCAAATTCTCCTTGTCAGCATCTCAGGAAATGTATAAAGAACAGTATAGAGTATATAATTATATGTGTATACTGATTTTAGGATGTAAAGGGATAAGAGAATGCATGAGCACATTTCAAGGTGAAAACACTAACCTTTGGCCATGTTGGCTGAAGTTGGCAAGTCTTATTAGCTCTGAGAAGACCCTCCTCAAAGCGACCCAGTGAGATAAGAATACACGCAAGGTTACTCTGAATCAAATGGTCAGATTTGTCTATAATGAAAATCAATTCACAATGGTCATCAGGTCAAGTCTGATTATGTGAGCCAAATGGCTTATCTTCAAAGTTTCTGTGGCATTAGTTTAAACAACTATGCAAATATGCAAGGTTATCAGAGGGTTCCCCATTCTTTTATCTCGTGAATCCTGATTCGATCTTTTTTCATTTGTGAATTGTGATCAACCATTAAGAGATATTTTCATGTCCATGAGAAGAAATGCTTTTATTCAAACATGAACTGTGAATTATGTGCTGAATTAAAAGTAATTCGTGAATCATTATTTTATTGCATGAAGAATTTCCTATTTTATTGTCTTCAAAATGTACATGTTGTTCTAGAACAGCTGTGGTTAGGGTTTGACCAGGGTTTTCACTGGAGATGGATTTCATATGGCTTAATTGACGGAAGTAAAAAAACAGACGACTCTCGGCTCTTGAACAATAATTATGACATTATGTTACCTTGTGACGCGGATGTCGTTACACATGTCGTGACATCGTGTCACGATTATGTTCGCAATGTACAGTGGTTAGAAAAAGGAATGAGCACGCCTTCAAGATGGCGTGGTAATGTTGGTGTTATTAAATGTTGTTTTTTTGGAAACGAGCCTTTATTCTGTCTCAAATGATTGAGCGAACCGGGAACTATGAGAACAACAACAGATTGTTAAAATTTGAATATTCTATCAAGTAACACTAATAGAGACTAGAAGAAGTAAAGTATTAATTCAATGTGAATGTCTTGAATTTTGCATGAGTGTACATACATACATACATACATACATATAATTTTTGTTAAGGCAGGTCGGTTTGTGGCAACCCAAAGGCTGGTGTGGACCTGCCAGGAACTAAAAAGGAACTACTTAAATATATGGACAATTCTAAGGAAAAAGTAAAGAAATTTCAAGGACTTAAAAGTATAAAAAATCCGTTTGCTTTGATGTTATCACACAGGCCTCCTTTTCGAATTGAATGCGATCTAATGTCCTTGAGGCCTGTCTAAGTTTTTGTTTAAAAAGCTGTAGAGAGGAAGCATCCTTGATGGCTTTAGGCAGCAAATTCCAGACAATGGGC